TTATTTTTTAGAGAGAGAGAGAGAGAGCGCGAGCACAAGTGGGGAGGGGCAGAGAGAGAGGGGGACATAGAATCCAAAGCAGGCTCCAGGCTCTGAGGTGTCAGCACAGCGCCTGATGTGGGGCTCGAACCCACAAACTGTGAGATCATGACCTGAGCCGAAGTCGGCCGCTTAACCGACTGAGCCACCCACGTGCCCTGCCCCTCCTTTTTAAAATCATGCACTGATGGAAGAAACGGAATGAAGTTTGTTTTATCTAAAACATGTATTGATTTTTAAAAACTGATTATAAAATATATATATATATTCATTGTAGAGTTGATTCAGTGCCTGGCTCTAGCAGTTAATCCTCTAGCAGGCTCCCATGGCTATTCCCACCTACATACCACTTTTCTCAGCCTTTTCCATATTCACCCCTCTTCCATGTTGATGTCCTTGGGAAATTAGGAAAAGGATAAAGAAGAGCAATATTATTCCTGTTTATTTTATTCACTGTTATCCTTTTGGTATATTTTCTTCTGTTATGCATACACTTGGATTTCAAAATTGGATTCCAAACTCTTTCTAATTGTTAAAAGGACAGATACAAAATATATCTCTCAGTAATTTATTTACTTGGTTCCATATTGACACATTTTTATTCATATATATTATTGTAATATTGTCAAGTTCTAGATGAAATTTGGAAGATTTCTTGTAGAAATTCTCTGTGTAATTGCCATTCTATAATATTCTCTTTGCCTCTTTGCATTTTACTAATCATATAGTTTGGGCTGAGTGAAAGGTTATATAGAAATCAAGTAATTGTAGTGGTTTTAGCCAGTGGTACATTAACCAGTAAAGAAATAAACTTCAACCACATGCAACAACATGAATGAATCTTACAAACATAATGTTGAACAAGAAAAGAGGAAATAAAGGAATACATAGAGCCCATGTAACAAAGCAGGAAAAAGAAAAGATGCTTAAGATCGGAAAAGGAGTAATAAAACTTACTTATGCAGATGACTTTATTGAATTTTTGTACAAACTATTAGAAATACCGTTGATCCTTGAACGACACAGGGGCTAGGGGCACCGACCCTTCCCCACCCATGCAGTTAAAAATCTGCGTATAACTTTTGAGTCCCCAAAAACTTAACTACTAAGAGTCTACTGTGGACTGGAAGCCTTTTTGATGAACAGTATGAATAATACATACTTCGTATGTTACATGTATTATATACTGTATTTTACAATAAAGTAAGGAAAGAAATGTTAAGAAAGTCGTGAGGAAGACACAATTCATTTACAATACTGTACTATTTTTTTAAAAAAGCAACAAAAACATGTATAAGTGGACCTACCCAGTTCAAATCTGTGTTACTCAACTGTTATCAATGAATTTATCAGGGTTACTGGATACAAAGTCAGTAAACAGAAATCAAAGTACTTCAATAGTCTAACGACAACAAAAGTGCAAATGAAATGTAAAAATACCATTTAAATAGCATCAAGAACATCAAATATTTTAGGAATAACTTGCTAAAGATGATAAAAATTTCAAAACATTGCTGAGTAAATTTGAAAACGGACTAAATAAATGGAAATCTATATCATGTTCAGTTTTCCTCAAGTTGATCTGCATAGATTCAATGCAGTTCAGTCAAAATCCCATCAATTTTTTTGTTTAAATTGACAAGCTAATTATACAATTTATGTGGAAATGCAAAGGACCTAGAATAGCCAAGACAGTTCTAAAGGAGAAAATGTTGGAGGATTTCCTTACCAAGGAGCAAGACTTACTATAAAACGACCCTAATTAAGCAGTTATTATTGGTGCAATGATAGATAAATAGGCCAGTTGAGCAGAAAGTCCTGAAACAGACCTGCATATATAATTCAATTCAATACAAAATATATGCAGTAGTGTAATTCAATGGGAGAAAGGATGACTTTTTTCAGTAATCAGTATTGGGTCAATTGTATATACTTGACACCCACCTACTACACATGATACACAAAAATTAATTCAAGATGTATAATAGGGCACCCAGGTGGCTCAGTCAGTTAAGCATCCTACTTTGACTCAGGTCATGATCTCACTGTTCGTGAGTTCGAGCCCTGCATTGGGCTCTGTGCTGACAGCTCAGAGCCTGGAGCCTGCATCAGATTCTGTGTTTCCTTTGTCTACCCCTCCGCTGCTCATTCTCTCTGTCTCTCTGTCTCTCTCTCTCAAAAATGAAGAAACATTAAAAAACAATTTTAAAGATATATAATAAACCTAAAGATGAAAGGCAAAACAACAAAGTTTCTAGAAAAAACATTGAAGAATGTCTTCATAATAATAGGATGTACAAATATTTCTTAAACAGATACTCTGTACAAAAACAGATACTTAAACATATACTCTCAATATGTACATATGACATCTTTAGTTTGTACAAAAACAGATGCTTAGGGGCGCCTGGGTGGCGCAGTCGGTTAAGCGTCCGACTTCAGCCAGGTCACGATCTCATGGTCCGTGAGTTCGAGCCCCGCGTCGGGCTCTGGGCTGATGGCTCAGAGCCTGGAGCCTGTTTCCGATTCTGTGTCTCCCTCTCTCGCTGCCCCTCCCCCGTTCATGCTCTGTCTCTCTCTGTCCCAAAAATAAATAAATAAACGTTGAAAAAAAAATTAAAAAAAAAAACAAAAACAGATGCTTAAACATATACCTCAATATGTACATATGACAAAGGACTAGTACAAATCAGTAAGAAAAAGATAGACAAACCAATTTAAAATTGAGCAAAAGACTTGAATAGATGCTTTAGTATATAATCCAAATAGCAACAAACACAAAAGATGTTCAACATCATTAATCATCAGGAAAATGTAAATTAAAACCATGACGTGATTCTACTACACATGTATCCACTAGAATGGCTAAAATTTTTAGACTTGACAATTCCATCTTGGAGAAGATGTGGAGCAACTGAAACTCCCTTATATTGATAAAGGGAGGATACATTGGTACAACCCTTTTAGAAAATTGACACTTTCTTCTAAAGTTAAAGACATGCTTATCCTGTGGTCCAGCAGTTCTGCTAGGCATATACACAATAGAAATGACTGCTCATGTCCACCAAAAGGCATATATAAGAATGCTCAGAACAGCTTTGTAATAGTTAAAAACTGGAAATGACCCAAATACTCACAACAGAATAAGTAAGTGTATTGTGATAAATTGCATTAATTCAATGGAATGTTTCATAAGATGAAAAAGAACAAACTACCAATACATGTAACAAGTAAATCTCATAAACATGTTAAGTGAAAGAAGTCACATGTAATAGAGTACATTTTATATGATTCAGTTTATATGGTGTTTCCAAACAGGTGAACCTCATCTATGTTGTTAGAATAGTAGCTACTCTTGGTGGAGGGTTTCTGAGAGTGAATGGGAATAAGAGAACCTTCTGTGCTCTGTGGATGAGAACAGGGTAGTGCCCACAAAGTTCACAGTTCCTTTTGGGATTCAGCCATTTTTCTTGAATAAAGCCTCCCTGGATTGTTGCAAGCCTTTGGTTAATTTACAGACCTGAAAAATTGAATTGACCATTTCTGCCCATGTTCTTGTTGCTTTTATGGAAGAGTGGATTTTCAGAGGCTCTTAATTCATTCCCACTGATGTCACTTCCAAGTGTTTGACCCTCATATTATACCCTAGTCAGCTTAGACTGCCATAACAAAAATACTTTAAACTGAGTGGCTTAAACAACACAAATTTCTTAGAGTTCTAGAGGCTGGAAGTCCAAGATCAGAGTGCTAGCACGGTTAGGTTTTGGTGGGGACTCTTCCTGGCTTACAGACAGCCACCTTCTCCCTGGGTCCTCATTCTGTTCCTTATGTGTGGGCAGTGAGAAAGGGATCTCCCTCCTTCTCCTCCTCTTCCTTCTCCTCTGAAGGCCACCAATCCTATTAGATTAGAACCCTACCCTCATGATCTCATTTAACCTTAATTAACTCCTAAAAGCCCTGTCTCCAAGTACAGTCACATTTGGGGCTAGGGCTTCAATATATTAATTTTGGGAGGACACAATTTGGTATACGGGACAGTACATCTCAATTTGGACTAGCCACGTTTCACATGGTCACTAGACATATAGGTACCTTCTTGAACAGTACAGTCCAATAGCTGTACTTGAAGCATGCTCCTGACTAATGAAAGATTTGTGGCTTTTTAAATTTTATTTATTTATTTTTTAAATGTGTATTTATTTTGGGAAAGAGAGAGAATACGCACATGTGTGCACATGGGAGGGGCAGAGAGAAAGGGAGAGAGTATCCCAAGCAGGCTCCGAGCTGTTAGTAAAGAGCCCAACATGGGGCTCAATCCCACAAACCATGAGATCATGACCTGAGATGAAATCAAGAGCCTGATGCTTAACCAACTGAGCCACCCAGTCTCCCCCTGTGGCTTTTTAAATAATTTTATTTTATTTTATTTTATTTTATTTTATTTTATTTTAGAGAGAGAACATGAGTCAGGGAGAGGGGCAGAGGGAGAAAGAGAATCTTAACGTGGGGCTCAATCCCATGACCCTGGGATCATGACCTGAGCTGAAATCAACAGTCAGATGCTCAGCCAACTGAGCCACCCACATGTCCCTTTGTGGCATTTTTAATATAAGAAAAATGATCATTTATTATAATTGCTGATTCATTTATTATTGTGAGGATGAAAAAGATTCTTTGATGCTCCTAAAATGCTATGGTTAAAGACACTATGAGTTGGAACTAACACTCACTTGGGTGACCAGAAACTATAACGAGAAGGCCTTTGCTCAACTAGCCAGCACATGGCTACACACATTTTTTTAGACCACTGTGACAAGAGGGTGGCTGGAGTGTGTGTCTTGTCAATAAAAAATAGCACTGGGGCGCCGGGGTGGCGCAGTCGGTTAAGCGTCCGACTTCAGCCAGGTCACGATCTCGCGGTCCGTGAGTTCGAGCCCCGCGTCGGGCTCTGGGCGGATGGCTCAGAGCCTGGAGCCTGTTTCCGATTCTGTGTCTCCCTCTCTCTCTGCCCCTCCCCCGTTCATGCTCTGTCTCTCTCTGTCCCAAAAATAAATAAACGTTGAAAAAAAAAATTAAAAAAAAAAAATAGCACTTAAAGGTTTTTAATTTTATTAATCTGTAAATTCAGAAAAAAAACTGGTACAGATTTTTAAAGCTTGCATGATATCATTTAAAATTATTCTAAATTATAAAAATAATGCATACTCTTGGTTTTATTTTTTTATTTTTTTTAAATTTTTTCTTAACGTTTATTTATTTTTGAGACAGAGAGAGAGCATGAACAGGGCAGGGACAGAGAGTGAGGGAGACACGGAATCTGAAACAGGCTCCAGGCTCTGAGCTGTCAGCACAGAGCCCGACGCAGGGCTCAAACTCACAGACCGTGAGATCATGACCTGAGCTGAAGTCGGACGCTTAACCCACCGAGCCACCCAGGCACCCCGCATACTCTTGGTTTTAAAAAAAGGGTATGGAACCTACCAATCAAAGCAACATTGCTCTCTTCGCTCCACCAGTCCCACTCCCAGAGGGTATAAATATTAGGGATCTTGCTTTTCAGAGTGGGGGTTTTAAGCAGAAATTTCAAGAAAAAAATTGTGTTGCTTGGAAAATATTCACAAGCGAGTATTTTTTACTATTTCTTAGATTTCTGCTCCTAATGAATTTGATATTATGTTCAAACTGGAGGTCTCCAGAATTCAGCTAGAAGAGTATCGCGACAGTGGTGCATATTACTTTGTGAAGTTCAAAAGAAATCCTAAAGGAAATCCTCTGAGTCCGTTTTTAGAAGGGGAAATATTATCAGCTTCTAAGATGCTGTTGAAGTTTAGGAAAATCATTAAGAAAGAAATTGAAAACATTGAAGGTAAGAATTTTGACTTTTGATTCTTTTTTGAAAATTTTATTTATTTTGAGAGGGGGAGAGAAAGAGAGAGAGAGGATGCTCATGTGTGTGCTCAGGGGAGGGACAGAGAGAAAGAGAGAGAATCCTAGGCTTCAAGTTGTCAGTATGGAGCCTGACTCAGGGCTTGATCTCAAGAACTGTGAGATCATGACCTGAGCTGAAACCAAGAGTTGGATGCTCAACTGACTGAGCCACCCAGGTGCTCCTTGGCTTTTGATTCTTAAAGGTCTAATTATACCTACTAATTGCCAATGTACACTCCTCTCATGATCTTTTTTTTCTCCCCACATCAGAGAGGTAAAGTGCCTACTTCATAACAGGGCTTGAGTGAGGCACATGTCTGTCACACAGCAGCTTGGACACCCAGTCATCACACTAATGAACTACAAAAGGATCCTTTCCTGATCTTTCTTAACTTCCTTGTTGACCACTTCTTCTTAGAAACAACTCTTTGCTCTTGATTTTAGTTACTACATTTTCTTTGTGTTCTTCCTAAAGGTTGATTTGTTCAGTTTGGTTTTCATTGGACATTCACTGAATGGCTGCCTGTGCCACTGGTTACATGTGATTGCATGAAATCCCCTCTTAAAGCTTGTAAACACAAATTACATTAAGTGCTCTGAAGGGAATGAACTGGGAGAAGTAGTAGCAACTGGGATGGAGTAAGACCCCAAGGCTGAAGAGAGCTTGGCAAGTTAAAGGAACAAAAAGAGGCCTATGTGGACAAGGGGAAGAGTGACATGAAATGCAGTTGAAGAGGTGGCCAGGGACCATACTGCAAGGACTTGTAGATCCTGGAAATGAATTCAGATTGATACCATGTTCATTGAGAAATCAAGTTTTAATTAGGGAGTGATGATTTGCTTTGTATTTTTAAAAGTTTACTCTGGCTTCTCTGGAGAAGATATTATAAAAAGGCAAATTAAAAAAAGGAAAGAAAAAGGAAGACATTGAAGTAATTCAGGTGAAAGATAGTGGTGGCTTCGATGGAGGTGGGAATGGAGAGAAGCAGACACATCCAAGCTGTAGCAATGCTTACTTCTGGATTAAGTGTAGGGGGTTCAAGAGGATTGAATTAAAGAAGGCCTCCAGGTTTCTGATTGAGCACCTGTGTGGATTGATTGTGCCCTTTTCTTTTTTTTTTTTTTTTTAATTTTTTTTTTTTCAACGTTTATTTATTTTTGGGACAGAGAGAGACAGAGCATGAACGGGGGAGGGGCAGAGAGAGAGGGAGACACAGAATCGGAAACAGGCTCCAGGCTCTGAGCCATCAGCCCAGAGCCTGACGCGGGGCTCGAACTCACGGACCGCGAGATCGTGACCTGGCTGAAGTCGGACGCTTAACCGACTGCGCCACCCAGGCGCCCCGATTGTGCCCTTTTCTAATGGGAAGGACTGAGGAGGAATGTATTTTAGGGTATGGATTAGGAGTTTTTGGCTTTGGAGATTTTAAGTTAGAGATTCCTGTGATACGTTGAAGTGAGTGTATCAAGTATGTAATTGGATATGGGTTTGAAGTTCAGAGGATATGTTTGGGCTATATGTAAACACATAAATGGCATTGGCAGTGGATGAGACCACATAGGCAGAGAGCATTGATTAATTTATTCATGAATCAGTATTCATTGATCATCGAATGTGCCAGATATTCTAGGTGTTTGGGATATAGTAATGAACAAATAAATGAAGATCCTCACCCTTCTGTACCTTAGTTATGTAGGGACAGACATATAATTCATAACAAATGGAAAACATAATTATCTTCACTACTAGAAAGTAGTAAGTCCTGTGGTGAAAAGTGTTGGCAATGGGATGGGGGAGGGGGAGTTGCAGTGTTAAGCAGAGTGGCAAGAAGAGGATCCCATTAGAGGTTGAGAAGAGAAGGAGCAAAAGGAGACTAAGTGCAGAATGAGTGGTCAGTGTGTAGAGTGCTACTGACATTCAGAAAACCACTGGATTTGGTCTTCAGTTTTGTGGGAGTTGGTAACTTGGACTTAGCAGTTTCACTGGGGTGTGTGTAGGCATATCTTTACAAACTTTCAGCTGTAAAGGACATCGAAAGGAGAGTCAGCATGGGGAAGAGGTAGGTTGGGGTCAAGAGAGGCATATTTTAGAATGAGAGATACTGGAATCCTTTGTATAAAGACAGGAATGATCCAGTAGGGAGGGGGCACCCACTGATGGAGGAGAGAGGGAACAGTTGAAAAAACAAGGTGGTTAAGAAGGTAAGAAAGAAGGAATCCAGACACCATGTGCAGGGGTAGCCTTTGAAAGGGGGGTGTACGCTTCCTCAGTAGTAATAGGAGGGTAGAAGGATATAATGGGTAAAAAGTGGGTAGTTTTACAGATTTAGTGATAGCAAAATGAGGGCATTCTCCAGGATTTTCTCCTTGGTCCTCTTTCTTCTCTCTCATTATGGTCCCTTCCAGAAGTCTTATCTGGGAGTAGTCTCTAACTATTGCTTGTATACCTCCCAATCCCAAAGCCAGTATCTCATCTAGAGATACTGAATTTCTCTCCACCAAAGCCACCGGCCCAGTAGCCATCTCCTGTTGGGTGTTCTCCAAACACCTAGAGCTCAGTGTGTCTAAAATGAAATACATCTCAGCCCAATCTTTCTTCCTTTTGATTATTCCATATTGAAGAATCAAATCGACATCATTCATTTCTCAGGCCAAAATCCTGGGATGGCATTCCAGACTTCTACCTTTTTCCTTACAGATTTAGTCCATCTACTAGTTCTGTTGATTTGAACCTCTTTAATTCCTCTCACTTCTGCTACTTGTGTCTTTTAAAAAAATAATACAATCTCTATATACTGTTGATTTTTGAACAACAGGACAGTTAGGGGCACCACCCCACATAGTCGAAAATCTGTGTATAATACACATAATAATCTATGTATAACTTAACAAAAAATACACATAATGATCTGTGTATAAGTTAACAAAACTTATCTACCAAGAGCTTACTGTTGATTGGAAGCCCTACTAATAACATAAACAGTTGATTAGCACACATTTTGTATATGTATCATATACTATGTTCTTACAGTAAAGTAAGCAAGAGAAAAGAAAATGTTAAAGAAAATCAAAGGGGATTGCTGCGTCTAAATAAAAAAGTTTCTGCATGGTAAAGGAAACAATCAACAGAACTAAAAGGCAACCTACAGAATGGGAGAAGATAGTTACAAATGACATATCTGATAAAGGGTTAGTATCCAAAATATATAAAGTAATAATCCAATTAAAAAATGGGCAGAAGACATGAACAGACATTTCTCCTAAGAAGACATGCAGATGGCCAACAGACACATGAAAAGATGCTCATTATCACTTACCATCAGGGACACGCAAATCAAAACTACAATGAGGTATCACTTCACCTATCAGAATGGCTAAAATCAAAAACACAAGAAACAATGGTTGTTGGCGAGGATGTGGAGAAAAAGGAACTCTTGTGTACTGTTGATGGGAATGCAAACTGATGCAGCCACTCTGGAACAGTAGAGAAGTTCCTCAAAAAGTTAAAAATAGAACTACCATATACTCCAGCAATTGCAATACTGGGTATTTACTCAATACAAAAACACTAATTCAAAGGGATACATGCGCCCCTATGTTTATAGCAACATTATTTATATTAGCCAAGATATGGAAGCAGCCCAAGTGTCCATTGATTGATGAATGGATAAAGAAGATGTAAAAAAAAAAAAAAAAAGATGTGTTATATATACACAATGGAATATTTTTCAGCCTTAAAAATGAAATCTTGTCATTTGCGATGACATGATGGAGCTACAGAGTATTATGCTGAGTGAAATAAGTCAGTCAGAGAAAGACAAATACAATATGATTTCACTCGTGTAATTTAAGAAATAAAACAAAGGAGCAGAGTGATACAACACAGAGTACTAATCACTATACAATCATGGCCAAGGAGCAAAGTGACAAAAAGAGAAAGGCAGACCAAGAAACAGACTTTTTTTTTTCTATTTTAAAAATATTTATTTATTGAGAGAGCACACACATGAGGGAGAAAGAAAGGGAGAAAGAATCCCAAGGCGGCTCCACACTCAGGATAGAGCAGGATGTGGGGCTCAATCCCATGACCATGAGATCATGACCTGAGCCAAAATCAAGAGCTGAATGCCTAACGGACTGAGCCACCCAGGCGCCCCCCAAGAAACAGACTCTTAACTATAGAGAACAAATTAACAGTTACCAGAAGGGAGGTGGGTGGAGGGATGGGTTAAATAGGTGATGGGGTTAAGGAGTGCACTTCTTGTGATTAGCACTGGATGTGGTAAGGAAGTGTTGAATCACTATATTGTATATATGAAACTAATATTAGACTGTATGTTAACTAACTGGAATTTAAAAACTTAAAAAAAATCATAAGGAAGAAAAAATACATTTGCAGTGCTATACTGTATTTACTAAAACAATCTGCATATAAGTGGACCTGTACAGTTCAGACCTGTGTTGTTCAAAAGTCGACTGTATTTAAGGTGTACAACATGTTTTAATACACATATACATGGTGAAATGATTTCAGCAGTCATGCCAATTAACTTATCTTCTCACATAGTTGCCTTTTCTGTGTGTGGTGAGAGTACCTGAAATCTACTTTCTTAGCTCATTTCTAGTAAACAGTGTAGTAGTGTTAACGATGGTCATCATGATGTACTTTAGATCTCTGTACATACTTGCCCTACATAACTGTAACTCTGTACCCTTTGACTAACATCTCCCCATTTCCCCCCACTCTCTAACCCCTAACCCCCTGGTAACCACCATCCTACCCTCTGCTTCTATGTATTCTACTTTTTTAGATTCCACATATAAGTGAGGTCATACAATATTTGCCTTTCTGTGTCTGGCTTATTTGACCTTGTGTAATGCCCTCCAAGTTCATCCATGTCACAAATGGCAAGATATTCTTTGCTAGGGCTGAATGATACTCCATGGTATGTATGTACCACAATTTCTATATCCATTCATCCATCCATGGACACCTAAGTTGTTCCATGTCTTGGCTGTTGTGAATAATGCTGTAGTAACATGGATCACTCCCTGTGTCTTCATGCCTACTGCCTCTGTGATGCTGCAGGCATACAACTTCTGTGTTGGACTGTTGCTGTGGTCTTCTCGATTGCCTGTCTCCTCCCTGCCATTCATCTGGGCTCTTCTCCAGGCTTCCCTCCAAAATGCCATCCATAAATTTAAGTGAAAAGTTAATCACAGCACTCCCAAAGCCCACGGTCTTCATGGGCTCCTCATCATTTATACCAGACAGAATCTTGACAATGCTTCCCCATGGTAGGTATTGATAAATACTGGTGAAATGAGGAAAACACTTTGCTTTGTGGGGTCAGTTTCGCTTTAGAACTAATTTGCACCTTACACTTAGCACTTTATAGATCTCCAATTACAGATATATTATCTTCCCTATATTTTCAAAGAAAATTGGATTGATAAATGCTGTCTTCTCTTTTATGTGTTTAAACAGATGTCATTGTCCAGAGGAAGAAGAGAGGGAGTCCTGCTGTAACACTTCTTATTAGAAAACCTAAAGAAATATCTGTGGATATAACCCTGGCTTTGGAGTTAAACACCAGCTGGCCTGCTAGCACCAAGAATGGCCTGCCCGTCAAGGACTGGCTTGGAACAAAAGTTAGAAGCAGTCTAAGACAGCAGCCATTTTACCTGGTCCCCAAGCATGCAAAGGAAGGAAATGGTTTTCAAGGTATCTTGAATATGAAGGTTAACTTAAAAACATATTAAAGAGTTGTCTGTGTTTTTTTTCTTTTTTCTTTTTTTTTACGTAAGCTCTATGCCCAGTTCATAGGGCTTGAACTTCCTACCCCATGATCAAGAGACACATGCTCTAATGACTGAGCCAGCCAGGCGACCCAAGGGCTGTTAATGTTATAATACTAGGGCAGTGTAACTAGTGCGGTTGGCATTTCAAGAGCCATAAGGCTAAATAGACTACAAGATGAGAGTTTGGTGAGAAAGGGAATTGAAAAGGGCATAGTTGTAGTAGTAATATCAAATACTTGGTTTTAAAATATCATCTCACCCACATTTCAAGTTTATTTTTAGTTTGTTTTCAATAGAGAAAGGCAGTACTGGCCTTGGAGTCAGACTGCCCTGGATCTGAATCCTGAGTCTTCTTCTCTTACTAGGTGTGTGATCTTGGGCTAGTTAACCAAGTCTCTCAAAGCTACTTGAAAGTTTACGGGGCGCCTGGGTGGCTCAGTCAGTTGAGCGTCCGACTTCAGCTTAGGTCATGATCTTGCAGTTCGTGAGTTTGAGCCCCGCGTCGGGCTCTGTGCTGACAGCTTGGAGCCTGGAGCCGCTTTGGATTCTGCGTCTCCCTCTCTCTCTGCCCCTTCCCTGCTCATGCTCTGTCTCTCAAAAAGGAATA